ATCATCAGCCTATCGCAGTCCACTGCTGGACATAGGCCTCTCCTATTGCACGCCACTTAGATCAAACACATACGTGAATAAAATTGGGTAGTGCAAATAATTACTAATACGGGTATTAACGGAATAAAGTGCTCATACACCATTGAAATTTCCAGACGTTTCGATCAGGTTGCATCTCTCATCAGGTTGCATTTGTGTATCTTGAATTGCAGATGACACTTCCCATCAGGTGCCTCGGGTGCAAGTAAATATTCATGGAACACTAAAATTAGTCGAGACACCATTGTGTCAATGCTTACCAACTTACTCTAACTGTGAACAGTCTGCTCATCAAATCCTCTGTGAATGTAGTCTTTGGTATAATGAACGTAATATAATGCTGAATAGCCTACAGGTGACATCTGGGGCGATATATTATGAGGATCTTGTGTCAACTATTGTGAATTGCCGTGCGTTTAGGCGATTTTGCCATACATTATCATAGCTCACTTAGGACCAAATATAGCTCACTTAGGACCGTCTGGCCAGCGTGGTATAGTAGGCCAAAACCTCTTTTCTAAGGAGAACCTTATGTCCAGCAGTGGACTATTAAAGGCTGTTGATGATGACCACCCCTATTCATCCTGTGGGTGTCGTAAGAGCAAAGTAGCAAACTTCGAAGGACAGCAACACTGCAAAGAGAAGGAAAACGACACAAACCCTTTACCAACCCGTCTGGCCAGCTTGATATAGTAGGCCAAAACCTCCTTACTAAGGAGAGCTTAATGTCCAGCAGTGGACTATTAGGAGCTGTTGATGATAATGATGATGATGAGGACCCATAATATTTTGTGGCCTTGGCACTTCCCTGTTTAAAATGGTGTATGCCTATTTTACTTCATTTAGTTTCCCGGTTTGGGTGTGTTATATTCCCGAGTCCTCCAATTGTCTTCTGATTAATTTCGTAGCGGGTTCCAAGACAGTTTAATTTTTTCGTGGGACTTCCCGAGTGTCTTAACTCGTTGTGTTCGTGGGTCACTGTTGTTGATCCTGATGTACAGGAGTTACAGTGGTAGACGTGTGGTAGGGATTAATCCCGTTTACCTCTTTATAATATTAGTAACGTAATTTGAATTTATTATATTGTCACGAAACTTCGCGATAGTTCGATTAACCGCGCGATTCCGGGCATCGTTTAATAATAATGCAGGTTGGCACGGAACAATAAGTTCTATATCAATCTGCACCAGATCGATAATAGATTGTCGCGCGATTATCTTGTTTACATTCGAAACGAATTTGTATGTGTCGGGAGTGGACGGTTCTCGTAGGCATTTGAAATAGCTAGAAAATTCCTTTACGAGTATTATAAACACTCAAACGGAGACGTGTCGTCTTCCTTTGAGTTTGCTTATTCTTAAATGCACCAATTTTCCGAATTTTAGCAGAATAAAAATAATTTCTGTATATAAACATAAATAGTATTTTTAAATATTTTATTAAAGTTAAAGTTACCATGTACATGCTACCAAATTAAAACAAGTAAACTATAAAATATTAGAACTCTTTAAAAATCTGTACGTATCTTATTGATAACTTCCTGTTCTTTGTCATCGGCGGTTAATAGTAAGGACAATAACGTATGCAAAACATTATCATGCTATAAAGCCTGCTGTATATCCTTAAGGATATAGGCGACCACAAGAATAGAGGACAAGGTCTTCTGGTGCTTGTAGGAACTTGAAAGTAAAGACAACCTCATTTGAATAAAAACATTAATTATTCTTCTTTATGCACACACTGTTTGAGTTTTAATCCAGAGGAATTCCAAACTTGCCAGTTAGGCGTCTGTGAGACTTACTACTACTTATATTTCGAGATGTAGTGCACGGTGGTATCTAAACCAAACCTATGGCTAGCTTTTACAATGTGCCTTAGAACACGATTAAACACAATTATACATAGTAGTAAATATCTGAATCTTATTTGTTTTTGTAAGTTTGGCATCTGAAATTAGTAGCTCATCGTATTAGTAAAAGGATAAAATACACCGCAAGTAAATCACAGACGAGATTGTTTTCAGTTGAAATCTTAAGGCATATTGAAATCTATGACAATGATTACTGGGAGTATATTAAATAGTCAATACTTAAAAAGTCTTTTGGAAATGTATTTCTTGCTCAAATTTGCAAAATTCAACTAAACTTCTTTGTGATATTTATTTATACTACGTATCTAACTTATCACAAATGTAGTTTAAGGCGTCTTCATAGAACGATGGAAAGAAAAAAAAAGAGGTGAAGAAGTTGGAACAAATCAAATATGGGTTATCTCTTTAACATCCAATGCCAGTTTACTGCTACAAAGTTTTACTACTCATTCAACTCCTTTACTCTCTGCTAGTTTTTTTATGATATGAGCACATGGGTCACCTGATGGTAAGTGACCACTGCGTACCCCTTAAGTCCTCGGTACGGGAGCGTTGGGCCAAGTTTAGTTCTTAAACTGTATTGACTCAAGACTCACTTAAGACTATAGTATCGATAAAGAATACATTATAAGTAGGTACGTAAACATACATATTATTTATATAAATACTATTTGATGTAAACAACAAAACTTGTTGCACTGGCTTTGCAGTTCTAAGAAAATTTATTCAAAGGTCAAAATTGTGGTTTGACAATATACCTAATCATAAGACTCCCACATATCAGCAACTTAAATAACCTGCAAGTTAGTCACCCAATAAAGGAAATAAATGGGCCCTAGTCCCATAGTCTCGTGATCTTCCTGTGCAATGATAGTATTGCGTTCTTATGAGAATCAGCCCCTGCAGGTGCCAACCTGTAATCCTGACCTGAATTTTTACACAGCTCAAAATGGTTTACACTCCGTTGAAACCACATCATCATCATCTGCCTACCCTTATCCTAATTTTATTTGGGGTCTTGATTCTTCAATTCTACTCTATCATTCGTCATGTCACTGTTTACTCCCTTCCTAGCCATATCCTCACTCACACAGTCCATCCACCTTTTCTTTGGTGTTTCTCTTCTCTTATACCCTTCAACTCCCATACCTAACACTTTCTTCGCCACATTTTCCTCATCCCTCCGCATGACATGTCCATACCAAGATAACCTATTACTTCTTAACTTTTCATCATTATATGCTCATTTCCAACTTTATCCATTCGAGTCACACCACACATCCATCTCAGCATTTGCATTTCGGCTACGTTCAGGCGTCTCTCATCCGATCTCTTAATGAGTCAACTTTCAGAAAGATACGGGACGGCAGGTCTGATGATAGTTTTATACATTTGTTCTTTTAGTGTTAAGGGGAAACTGGGGTCACAAATTGTTCCCGTTACCTCCCGCCACCTCATGAATTGATTCGTTGCTGTACAGTTCGATCGATCTCAAAATAACATTGTAAGACGGAGCTGAGGTACTTGAAATTGGAGCAAACTGTTATCGCTATCTCATCCAGCGAAATGGTCTCAGGACTGGAGAGAACGTGTACTTAGTTTTGGTTACCACAATGTTAACAAATCACGCAAAATATCGTATTAATTTCTTTCTGAGCATGCTTGCTTATAAACAAATTAAGTTATACATATTTAAAGTTTATGTGGTAATCAATAAATGCCAACATTTTTACTTGTTATATTTATTTAATAACTAGCTTTTAGAAATGCATTTTATGTAGTTTTCCTAGAGGCGGTTATTTCCTGTACCTTGAAAACAATACTCTATTTTTACATCTGATTACATGTACGCAAATTTTTGTTTTACAAGTTTAGTTTTACCAGCTAATAAGGCATGATGTCAAGAAATAAACGAATTCAAATTTTACTAAAAACGCCTGAAACTTTTTAGCGAGTTGAGCTTTTCTGAAAATGAACTTGAAGATAACAACGAATCTCATAATCGTTGTGTATGTGTTATGTAAAAAAATATCGCTGAAGTAAAAGAAAGAAAATATCTACATGTAATATTGCGCTGGTAACCTTTAGACTCTGATACCAATAACACAATCTAAATCTTATCGTAAATGTAGTAGACCATCACCGAATCATCAGTATGAACGGCAACATTCAGCAATCCATATGTTTGACCGGTACGGTATCACTACGAGTACTTCGCTACCATCAATTCCTTCTCTGTGCCGCCTGTTAATGCCTTCTATTGATAAGAACAAATGTTTTTACTGCATATTAAAATTATTTTATTATCTGGTAAATCTAAATTACCAATCAATATTTACTAACATTGAAACTGTCGCGTTCCATAATACGAGTACACAATAAATTATGTTTACAATAATTAACGCAATAACGATAGGTATTAAATAAGTACATACCTTTGAAATGCTTGACGTTTCGACCATGCATTGCAAAGGTATGTAAACATAATTATATATTTCTATACATAATTATGTTTTTAATAAGTAACTTCAAAATTATTAAAATCTTAAACTACTATTTTTCTGTGAGAAGCTGTGGAAAAAAACGGTTTATTTAAAATTAAACCGTTCATGTGTGTATCATATATTTTCTATAAATCTTGGTTCCAAGTCATAATGTAAATGGTGTATCAATATTTTAAAGAAAACGAATCTTCTTACTAAGTAATAAATAAAAAGTGTTTTATTAGTAAGTCGGAGCACGCAGACGTTTACTATCTGAATTAAATAATAAATTTATAAAAGAAATGCTCGTACTAAATTAGGACGTAGAATGAGTAGAATCGTAGGATTCAAATCATATTTGTCTTTGGAAAAGGTTTAACATGAAATCTTTATTTATATAGTATAGGTATCTTTCATAGTACATACTATTATTATTTATGCGTATTTTGCTTGTTCGTACACTTTTTAATCAAATATCCATTTGATAGTATAGTGTTTGTAATTAGGCCGTGGGATTTTATGCCGCACTACAAATTCGACGATTTGAAATCTATTTGAATCCGACCGTTTAAACAGGTAGAAAATAAATTAATTCAATCGAAACTCACCGGCTATGACCGCTGACGCCGACAAACTACTATATACTACGTAAGATTGTTGTCCAACAGGCGTTATATGTAGTTCTTACAAATAATAATCTTGATCTTCACGATATCTCACAGTTGTTTATCCTCAATACACGCAATCGTACCTCACTATGTCTGTCTAGATATCTTGTGTTGAGAAATAATATATATAAATGTACATACGTTCACCGTCTCACAAAGAATATACAATACTTACAGCTTACAACTACTTACAACTATTGTGATACATACGTACTACAATAAGTCGTTTCATTTATTGCATTTGTACATTTTATAAGAGTCACCAATAAAATATTTGCACAGACTTGATTCAACAGCTGACTAAAAGGTTTTGTAAATGTTCTGAATAACAAGTTTGCAAAATACTGAATTAAAATACATCTGGCAAAATGGAGTATTTGATCATATTAAGTATTTTCTGTTACTAGTTGAGGTCAACAGGGAGTACGTTTTTTAAGCCCTGACGTTAGCTTCATTATACTATTTAAAAAAAAACAATATACCTAGTCCATCTTGCTTCATCAACAGCCATTACTTGTCCACTGCTGGACATAGGCCTCTCCTTAGAAAGGAGGGTTTGGCCTACTAAACGCTGGCCAGACGGATTGGTATAGGGTTTGTTTCAAGTTTTCCTTTTCTTTGCAGTGCTGTTGTTCTGCGTAGTTTGTTCAATTAGTCGCCTCTTACGACACCCACAGGATGAATCCGTATTCTTAATCCGTCACCACAAGGACTTCTTCTTATTCACGGACAATCTTGCTTGCTTGTTTTCAATTTCGTATTTTACGCTTAAATTCGAATATGCTTATATAGCTGAGTATAGTTCATATAGTCCAGGTTAACTTACAACCTGTCTGCTTTAGCACTTTATCGGAGTATTTTTTAGTAAACCCGGCTATGTGCTCCATGACGAGGCATGCTCAGCTTGTGTGTATTAAGATATTAAATTTTAATTTAAATAATAAAATCGTGTGATAATCATAATACATCTAACATCTAGATTATTTTGGCCTAACGCCACTCGCGTATCACTTCGGGTGGGGGCCGACTGCTACTGTCCGCCCGGAACTCAGTCGTCCGCCGATAATATTTCGGCGAGCATTTCCGCCTCCAAATCCCACGAGGGAGTTTTTATAGAAATGTTTTTTTTAAGTTTTTGTTAAAAAACTTAAAAAAATGACATAAACAAACCCACTGTCATATACACATTTTGCTAGACATTTATCGCTAAGATATTGTATCTAGATGATAAAATGCCTTATCTGAGGATCTTTGTTCTCAAGTAGTCTTCAAAGATGCATGTCTATCGAAATGATCTGTCAGATATACATTAGTTCTAGATTACAAAGAAAATTGATATTAGCTAAAGATTCCAAACATCAAAGTGAATGACACAGTTGCAAAATACATAAAATAAGTTACTAAAACTTTTAGTATAATACAAACAGTAAGTATTGTATAAAATAGAAATGAATAATATCGTTAACATTAAAGTTTGAAAACGTTTGGCAGGCAAGGTAATAATCTTATATAATCGTCGTGGTAATGTTTTTTTGCTATTCGGTTACAAAGTAGCTATTTATGTAATAAAGTTAGGTTTCTAGTTTTTTTTACTAATTTAATTCTTTCGCATCTTATTAGTTTAGTCTACACCTTCCTCATCATTCACAGTCCCCGCCAGGTCGCGAATCGCGTGATGCGGGGTATTATAAATCCAATATTATATACAAAACACGTGTGCAACTGAAAAGCACTATCTAGTAAAGCAGAGAATAGTTCATAGTAGTGTTATAATTTTTTTATTGAAATCTGCTGTGTACCCCAACATAATAACCGCTATGTATAATATTTATAAGTATAAATTTTGGGACTATTAGAATATACTCTTTCCATTAAAAAAGATTGTTTATGTTAATATCTTTATCGAAGTCAAGTTATGCGCTGAAAATTACTTCTACGCTAGCGAAACCACATTAAAAAAAACTCAAAATCTAGAACCTAATAAAATTCTCGACTCTTATATTCCTTCTTTTCATTACAGAGATCTGTGGCATACTTTACCTGTTTTTATTTATATAAGTTTAATTAAAGTTTTAAAGTTAAATTTCCTATTCATTCCATGGGTGACGTGAGCAAACTACGCAGGACAACTTAACACTGCTCCCAATAGTTAAAAATGCGCATGTCACAACAAGTCAAAATGGAGAAAAAAAATTATAATAAATTTAATGGGAAATCGTTCGCTGTCTTTGATTAAATTTTAATAGTTAAATATTAAAAATTGGAATTTATAGGCATGATTATAGTGTTTGACAAGTAATATAAATATTTTTTAAATTATTTCGACGATCGACACGACATGGCACATCAGGGCGTACTTCGGCAGCCCGAAGGACGGCATGGCACGGCAAGTCAGGGCAGGGCGTACTTCGGCAGCTTGAAGGACGCTTTTGTATCACGTCATTGCATCCCGCAGAAAGCCAAGCCATTCTACTCAGCCACCGCAAAAGTTTTAAACCTTATTTCAATTAGTTTGTCTGTCATAATCCGGTGACTTATTGGCGTGTGGGTGGCTATTGACGCGGTGGCAAACCGCGGCAATCCGTGGAATGAAACGGCATTACACGTTGTGACGCGGCGTCTCGCGGCATGCCGCATTATGGTTGTATCGAAATAAAGTAATATGAATTATAATTCTAAACTAATTGAAATAAGGATAAAAATAACTTGATCTGAAATAGAATCCTTAACTGTGCCGTGGTGTACCGTGAGGTCAGTCAGCGCAGGTCCTTATAGGCTATTGATTATAGGCTATATGATTGATGAATTGAAAATACACAATAGCCAAAATATCACTGGATAGGACAATAAATTTTGTAGCCTCCCCTACAATGATACAAAAGTTAGTATTAACCACAATGGGAAACCTGGAAAGCATATGAACTGCCGGAATTTCGGAAAATAAGAGTCACTATATATTTGTACTCACTTATTTATTTTATTCATCGTTTAAAATAAAAGTCAAGTTATTGTTATTAATTAAAAAAGTTTATTATGAATACTGTGTCCTCTATAAATTAGACTAAAATAAGTACTCAACACGTCACGACTGAGTGGTGGCTTGTGTCTCCGGCTTCGTTACCTCCTTAGCACTCAGGGCGGCCCGTTGTTCCGCTGTGCAATATTCTGGAACATAATATTATTATTGCAAAAACGTACAAAAAGAATGTGCAACCAAAGACAGGTGTATGCATTTAAATGCATGAGGGAAAAAATACTTCAAATAGCCAACTCAAAGACCTACTCTTATGGTATGTTCAGAGCCTTGGTATGAGAACTCAGGTGTACGAGTTATAATTTATCATTAATACTAAAACGTACAAAATAATTGCTTTTTAACTAAGATAAAGAAGTCGTCACCAAAACATACTTAAAAAAGGAATACTTACGTGTTCTACTTGACTCCCAACCTATAAATTCACCAGTTCTCTGATTTTCAGCCGTTAACCACTCATGTAGAGGCCTAAAGTACTCTAACAGGCCATCGGCTTTCATGGCTCGCTGACCCGTGAGCACTTCCATCGCATCTGGCCAAGGTTTAGATGAACCCATTTTGAGCATATTTCTGTAAGTAATTATTTTTGTAATTGGGTAAATTACTATATTTATGTGAATAAATTATAATATTTGGATACTAGTAATTTTTATCTTTAAGCTCTACAAATTAAATATTAAAATTCTATCTAGTCTATTTACAAATAGACATGCAAAAGGATTAGCGTGATATACGAGTATATATGGACTACAGTTACCTTCACACAGAAGGTAACTGAAATTCATATAAATTTTGAAACTTATATTTCTTTACATTTAAAGTATTTGAGATAATTACTGGAAATAAAGTTTACAAATGTATTCCGAGTACTTATTTCCAAGATAAGTCACAAGTAAATAAGTCACAATTTCTGACTGGTAACATGGGTCTTCCATTACTTTTAATGCGTTGCATGAAGTCATAGGCAAAGAGACTAACTTAGTATGCTTCAGACATCAAGGGCAGACTTCTCGAACGACTCACAATTTTTTTCTTTCACTAAAAATATCATTGAAACAATAATACTTTTCAACGTATTAAAAAGTTAAGTTAATGTGATTCCGCCAATGACATGCATTGTACCGCAAGCAATTGCAAGCACCTGAATTTAAACTTCATCTTCCAAAAATGATTTTCTTAAATAATTAAACAGCATGTTGTTACATCTAGCTAGCTATTTAATCATCTAAGACCTGTCTAGACACCGATATATAAAAGCTCCGACCGTATTCTTATTATTTTAAGATGTACTGTGTAATTTGACTCACGCTAGTGCGTTGCCAGCAGCCACGCTCTGGTATATATCACAGTCTACCAGCTTCTTGTTTAGGTCTTCAGGTATATACTCGCCAGCAAACTGACAGAGTGCTCTGTGGAACTGGAACTGGATGATGAAAGAGACATAGTATCTGAAATGAATGAGGAGTACAACGTAAATCTTGCATGTCTGTACTTTACTCTAACAAAGTTCTAGACAAAATGAAGATTTAAATAAACTTGTCGCTGCAATAATGTGTGACATATTTTACCCCTTCTCGGCTTTCCTATTAGTTATATTATTATGAATATTTTTTTTACCTCGCATATTCCACATTAGCGGCAATATGATACTTGGCCGCAGCATCGAAGTCATCTTCAGTCCTATTTACAGGAGGTTCTACACCCTGTAGCATCTCTCTTAGTCGCCAGTAGTGACAGTTGTAGTCTTCAGGAGGAGTGGTGCCACGGAACACACCGTAGCGGAATAAGTCCAAGGTGTAAGCAAAAGGAAGGAACACGATTTTGTCAATGCCCTGGATACAAATATAATACGATTATAACAACCACTATAAGCCGATTCTACTAAATAAGAGCAAATTGTCATAAGTTTTTATTATGTTTATTATTTAGTTCAATCGCAATTGTATTTATCATTTATGTGTTTATTATTCAAAAGGACTATCACATTTTTAATCAAAAAGGTGGTGTTAAATTGAACAAGTTTGTTCAATTTAACACCTCCTTTTTACACAGTTGTATTAGTGTCTTACGCAATGGACCCTGTAGGTACATAAAGTGGCAAATTTTATAACAATGTTCTCAGTGTAGTCCTCTATCAAAAACATTTTATAAAAGAAAAAGCAAAAGTGTTTAAATTTCAAACATTAAAAATAATCTTAATTTTTTTTTCTTAAATTATATTTCGGCTAGTTCTACGTGCCTTGGTATACTACTTATTTGTAAAAGATATTGTTCAAAACCTATTTTTATAAAAGTTAACTTTTATTTTTTGAAATATTTTTATTCTGTACGAAATTGTTGAATCACATTTACAAAACTACTAAGACTTACGTCAACTCAAGTCTTAAGTATCCATACAAAGGAACGTCACCTACCATTTTATACAGCTGGTTGATTTCAGTCTGTTCATCTTCAGCATTCCCTGTACTAAGGCCAACACGTCTTAAATGCTTGGGTGAAGATACTGATAAGGCTATTGTGTCACCAACTGCTTCATGAAAACCTGGAATTAATCATTTAATATCTGTTATAATGCTACCATATTATAGAGTACTATAGAAAAGATACAAAACACACCAATGATATGTAAGAAATGCCTTTTAATCATTTTAACCGTATGACTTCTAAAATGTTTTCACGAGAAAGGTAAGAATATTGTTTTAAAGGACCCACTAGAACTGAAAAAGAATGAGACAAAGAATTGGAACATTTAAGAATAAGCCACACATTCTGTTGCAAGTAGAGTTTTGCATAAACACATTAGACCATTCAATACAGAAAGATATGACAACAACGATCGAAGTGATGATGATGCCGCTGATTCCAAACCCAAATACCTGGATTGGCACCCTCTCGAAAACTGAATGGCTGATGTTTATACTGCAAATAATAGTGAACATGTCCCATTTCATGATGCACCGTCCTAAAGTGGTCTTTGGTCACCCTCGTACACATTTTGATCCTGGTCATAAAAAAATATATTAATTACCTGGATTAGCTCCATCCCGGAATATGAAGGGTTGGTGTTTGTACTGTAGAAAGTATTGTATATGTCCCATTTCGTGATGTGTCGTTTCAAAGAATTCTTTATCTATTGTTGTACACTGTTTGATCCTTTAAAGTTAATCCAAAAATGTTAGTAATATAAATTTTGAATTTTATTTTGAGTTTTGTGTTAATTATATTTCGATTTTTATACTACTCGTATAACAACAAATGTAAAAGTTTTAAATTTATAAATTTTTTGAATAATAGTTCCCTAAATATAATAAGTATGTGAAACAAATCAAACCTGAAGGTAATACTTAACATTGAACTGAAATATTGGCATGACTGAAAATGTACAAAGAACTTAATAAGATTAATCTGATATATTACCAAAACCACAACAAAAACAAAATAAAGTTCCAATGCGAAAACGGGACTTGCGACGTATAAGTCTCAAGTTTCCATTACCTACCTAAAATCTTCACCATCAAAAAAGTCCCAAGCTGAAGCATGGCATACAATATCCCTGTCGGTAGGTTTTTCTATTATTGAGTTCTGCCAGAATTTTTCAGGCATTGCAGTCAAATTCAAAGACCGGAAGAATTCATCGGACATTTGGAACATTTTGAGCGCAGTGTAGTTTTGATCTCTCATTGCTTGTGTGATGTCGATCTCTTTCTTATCAGGGTAAGGGCGAGTGAATGATTCGATATTGCTCCAGCTTTGTGCCCACATATTACCTGTTACGATGTACGATTAACGATTTAATAATACAGTTTCTACAAAACTTTTCTAATTAGATAACTTACGTAGTTAACAGACGCATTTGAAAATTCATGCATTTGAAAATTCATTTCATCAACGATTTTAATTCGACGGATTAATTTTACTTACCTAACAAATGCGCTGGGATAGGTCCCCTGGCAGAGACCACATCCCCATATTTGTCTCTCAACTTCTTTCTGACGTATGCGTGGAGCTGCTGGTATAAAGGCTTAACATCCTCCCAAAGCTTTGCCAGTTGCTGTTCAAAGTCACTCACTTCGTATTCTGACTGCCACCAATCGGCAACATTCTGAAAGTCTGAAAGTACAACCTTTTAACCTAACTTTCTGTACACCAGAAACTGAGATAATAATACTTGAAAAACTTTAACGAGTTTAGCAACAAACAAAATTATAATCTAATTATAAATAATAGCGAATTTATTAAATAAAATTTATCATCTTATATATATTATGACATTTATATACATAAAATTACATTTATGTGAATTAATTAATTTCATATTAAATGACGACGACGACGGAGATCGCCTCTTTGCAGGTGCCCCCTATAGCGGATGGAGGGGAAAACCTACGCTACCGGCCATAGAGCGTATGACCGCCGGTAGCAAGAGATCCTCTCCGATGACTACGAGAGCCCGACACTGCATCGCCTAAGCAGAGCATACCGCCAGCGTGTGCTGACCCGGACACATTAAACTTAAACATCTAACTTAAACATGAACTAAGAATCAAGTGTCCCATTCGTAACTAATTTAATCAAATAGATATTTTTTCTTACTTTACAATTAAATAATGTTTAATAAAAACATCGTTTAAAAATCAAAATATCATTACCATTAAGTTTGGCAGCTTCGTTATACAAATTGACATATTCAGTAAAGTTGTGACGTGCCTTTGCACCAGCCGCTTTGTGCCACTCCACCCAATAATGTTTTAGTTCTTCAGGATCCTGGCTCATAGAGAATTCTTGTGTGATATCTGAAATGCACGCAGAGTACTTATTAATTATATTGTGTTTATACAGTGTCTTTGACTTTGCGGTGTGAATGTGTGATATGCAGTTAGGGACTGTAAAACTTAAGTTTACAAGTAGAACAGTGTATTTTTCCGTAAATATTTTAAGTGCATTATAAATAAATAAAAACGATAGATACCTTTTACAATATGAAAATAACAAAATATTTTGAGACACTAAATTTAATTAAATGATAACTGTGCTTATTCAAAGTACATTTAATGAAGTGACATTTTCATTGACTTCAATACACTACAAAGGAAATCCTCAAAAAAAGTTTTAAAAGACCATCACAATTATTGTACTCAAGAATATAAAGAATTCTTATTAAATAAATTATCCCTTATACAACTATATAATGAAACTATCAAATCCTTACCAGGTTCCAATGCCAGGTCACATTTGCTTTGATCCTTGTACGAGCAAATCTTAGACGTCGCATAGTTTGATTCCATTCCTGAGACGTACCTCATCAGCTTACCATACTTTTCATCGCTTAGAGCGGATGCTCCTAACAGACTATATTTTTTGAACATCCGCCGAAGAGTAAAATCTTGGAAGTCTTGCCATTTGTACATTTTAGTTTCTTCCCAAGACTGTTTTTCTTGTTTGGACAAATCTAGACGTACTTGGATCTGAAAATTTAATTTAGATCTTTGAGGTATGTGCATGTATAGTCCGTTTGGTGACGTATAAGAATACGGAGTGTCACCACCCCTATTCATCCCGTGGGTATTGTAAGAGCCGGGGGAGCAAACCGCACAGGATAACAGCACTGTAAAGAGTACGAAAACTTGATATAAACACTATACCAACCTGTCTGGCCAGCGTGGCCAGTAGGCCAAAACCTCCTTCCTAAGTAAAGGCCTACGTCCAGCAGTGGACTTATAGAGACTTGTTGATGTTTGATGAGGTATGTGCACATAATATGGAACAACATAATCTTAGCAGGCAGCTTAGGGCTATGCCCCAGCAAATTATTCATTTATTTAAGTTAAGGTTTAGACGTATATGGTACTTGGAAAAAAATACTGAAACTTTATAATTTGTCAAGTAGACTGAACATGTGAAATAATTACCCAATTGTCTTCATTCTCTTTAGTAATATTTGATGTGTACGCCCATTCAGCAATGCCTGCTCTATTCTTCATAGCACCCATAACCCTGTCTAGCTGGAAGATGTAATCCCTGCCCTCATGTTCCGAAGCTTCCAGATCTGGGTCGCGGCCTTGGGTGGCAACCACGAAGACAGCCACAATTGCCGTGAGCAGAAGGGCGCCTCCTCCTATTTTCAACATAGTCTGTAAAAAATATATTTGAAATATTGAATAAAGATTTTAAAAAAAAACATGAAATTCTTTGAAAAACCGGTTATACATATTTTTCAAAGAATTGTTAAATTATTGCATTATATCTTAGACTCTTAGTGCTTTGTAATACTTGTATATGTATGTATACATATAAAAGATTAACAAAAAAAAACTGACGTCAGGTAAATTCAGATCATGAAAAATACAGGAATCACGGGCCTCAACAACAATGCGTTAAAAAACATCAAATGTTAAATTGTCCTTAGATTACTTTGTGGGATATGGTTGAAATTATTAGATGCATAGGCTACCTTAAAAAAAAACTTCTAAAAGCTTCGATATATTATCCAGGATAATATATCAAAGCTTTTATTTTATTTATACCTATCAAAAACGTAAACGATTTCCATACTTGTGCACCTTGCAAACCATGAATCTTAAACCCTATGTTCGAGATGAAAATAAAACGACATAACGGTAAAATAGACACACACGAGAAATGCGTGCCTAGACTTAATTAAGGGTGAAGGGTATAGATGCAATTTGTAAGAAAAAACGAAAAACTTGAAAATAAAACTACATCATACTGTCACCAACTAAATACAAGCAGCCACACAAAAATAAACATTTTCATTATCTACACACAAGCGTAATTTTAACAAAAATGTTTCATGTGTAATGACTTAATGATTTAAGATATTTTTTTAGAGAAATCTCTTAATTTCAAACATTCTTTAAATATGAAAGAATATTTTTTTCATTGACAAAAGTATTCAATATAAACAAACTTCCTTTCAAAGATCACTTCTACTCTCAGGAAATAGTCAGTACAAAAAATGACGTTAACAGCACCATTCCCAGACCAATAATGATTACTGCTCCCGCACATTAAACACCACAGCCTGTGTATATGCTAGAATTACGTATCTTGCTAAAAGTATAACAAATATTTAAATAGCAATTTCACTGACGTTGAGCAGGTATCATGAGCCCACCGGATAAATTGACGTAGCTATAAAACAATATTAATAATAAAATAGTTCGAGTTTGACGTGTGATACTGAACCTTAGAAAAGAGAAACGACATGATTCCGGCGCAGTTAGATAACACTGTACAACGACAAACTTAACACTGAATTGTTATTTCGTGTTCAACACCGTGGCAATTAAAATTGAATATAGAAACGTAACTACTACACATGCTGTTATGTTAGACACGTTAGACACTGAGCCGTACTCTAGAAGTATACAAAAGTAGTGGTATAAATGTATAATCAAGCCTCTCACTTTTAACAGATTTTTTTTCTTTGGCTATTTAAGGAGGAATCTACTTCCGGTATGAATTCGTGCGGTTTATTTTTTTGATTTGACTAAAAAAACCTTTGTTATTGGTTTTAATGCTCTTCTTTATCAAAAATGGATTCAACTGCAAACGTCCATAGAACGAGATTTCAAGGCTGAGTGGGTTAAACCACATAAACGTTTATAGTAAAAGTATATATTATAATAATAATTCATGCTTATTTACAAAAAGGATTTAGAAATTATTTCTATTGTGATAAAACAATGGTTTTCTAACAATTAGACTATAAGTCTAATTTATTTATTCAGTCATGGATTCTTGGCAAGATGTTCATAGATTTTACGGTTAATCCTAGGCAGCAATAACAAAGCAATGTCCCTGGATATGGATACAGAATTACATATTACGTTACTACATAGATTTTCAAGAAACTGTTTACAAACCTTAAGTTACAATGGACCGTGGACGCGATGTGCAAAATTAGGACTTCAACTTGTGGTAAATACACTCAATTCATTCGTAGCAAAGATTACACGGCACTCGAAAACTACACGACTTTTAAATATAATCTAAAACTAAGCTGAAAGTAAAGCCAAAATTAAACTATTCGTAAAAATCGATGACGTTATTGAACTGTCAAGCCAATGGACTGCCAAAACACGGCCAAAACAAAGATTTATTTTTTTAATAATTATTATTCTTCAATGCCTTGTTTATTTATAACTTATAATTTTTTTGTCAACTATGCCAGATGAGACACTAGATGTCTAATGTGCTAAGTTTTTGACGTAAATAGTGCCCGACATTGAAAACTAATTTGTGGTAGAAACGCTTATGAAATAAAAGAAAAAAGTAAAAATTGACCACAGTACACCAAATGTGAGGCAAAAGTTTGTTATCACTCTAATAAACCTTTATCTACATAAATTAAAAGAATGGTAATATGTGTTGCTTATTGCGAAACTCGCAAACGTCTCAATTATTTGACTATTTTCAATTTTAATTTATTTTTCGAAAAAGGTTTTAAGCGAAAATATTTCTTTAGTTGTCCAGAAATAGGGTTTTCTTCAAAAACAGATCCCAAAAATATTTGGTATACGTGTAGTTCCTACAGAGAGGCTCGTGGCTGAGTAGGATAGCACATTGCAAAGTTAAGCAATCCTAGCCAGGTCAGTTTATAGCTGGGGGACCATTCTTAACACATTGAGACACCTCCGTACCTCTGAGATCACGTTAAGCCGTCGGTCCTGGTTGCTATACGAACAATTGCGAAGATTGTTACCGGTAGTTGGAGCCCTAAAAGCCCGACAGTCTTCCTACAGAACTTCGATATCGCCTAGTACTTAGTACTGGTTTGATGACAGTCGCTCCACATAAAAAATTGAAGTTCAGCCGTGTCGTAGTCTACTACCAGTCTACAGAAAGCCGACCCTGGCCTAGTTTGGGAAAAGGCTTGGTGAAAGAAGATGAGTAATTTAGTAATTCCTACATGTACTCCATACCCTCCTAGAAGTGATAATGAAAGTTTTATAGAATGACCTCATCCTACCTCTATTTACTTCACGCTTGCCTTGCCATCCTTATTATATTCTTATGACACTTATGACATTCACAGATATTGCTCTAAGTTTAGATGTGACGATAATTAGGATCTGACATAACATGGTCCGGGTTCTCCCAGAGTAGGGCACCAGAGGCCAGCCGTCGGGGTGGTTTTTAATGGAATCACCAGATACTCCTGGCTCCTGAGTCCCCGAGGAGATTTTCCACCCCGTCAAACAAAGAAAAAAAGGTGTGACGAAAATTGTTTTATTTTTGTAAAATTAATGTCATCTTAAAAACAAATCGATGATCTACATATCGGCAATCGCGGGTTCGAATCCCAGTTAGTGCAAATAGCAGCATGGATTACGAAAATATTTTTATGCAAAATATGTGCCTGGTAGAACGCATCGGTATAAAAAATAAAATAGATATAAAGCGATTCTGCTTCTCTAGATGTAGATGTAGATGATGCTTCCATGCTCTTTGTAAGAAGTTACAATTATGACCAAATAAATACCTGGCCATACTTAAATAAGTTTTAAATACAGACAGATTTTAATTAAATTACACCCAGACACAACACAATAATATTGTGTTTGTCAGTTACTCGATGGCAATCGAGTAGTACATATGATTTTATTATATAGGTTTTGTAAGTAACCTTGCTCCTTGCAAGACTGTTTAAGGGCGGCGGTAGTCACTTTCCATTAGGTGAGCCGTCTCTTCCATAAAAAACTTACATAATAGTTACTAAGTAATCATAATCTCTGTAATATTTTTTTTTACAACACAACATTGTGTTCCTTACTACTTGGTTTCATTTATTAAGTAAATAACAGGTTATGACTATTTATTTGTTGTGTAACTCTTACCTTATAAATACATTTAGCTTGTCTTTAAGCACAAGATTCGTATTATTATAAAATGTTTTCTTTATTCTAACATTTTTTGTGGGGTTTCGCCGATTAGAGTTCACAATTAAAAAAAACATGCAAAGTATGGGAAGTTCTCATAAATTATGATACTGAATTACGTTTAATCCTTTAGTCTCCGCACCATGCAGATTCAGTGGTGTGCGTCGAACCGAATCAGTCAAGGTTACGTTGTCTTATTTACAATTGTCTTTCAAGCGAGGCATGCAGAATTTGGTTTTCATATAGGTACATCGTTCTCGGGAAAACGTCAACGAGAGTCGAAACGAACTTGTATCTGAAGTTGAAAGTGCCTTAGCGGAGGTTTCAGCTTGAGGTCGACTGAATCTGGTCCATTTTAACCCACAAAACACACAGGTTTGCGCGTTAGAGAGCACCTTCCACATTACCTCAGCGAAGTCCAGTTTCGCGGTCATTTGGGGTAAGGGTAAGGTCAAATTGGACTTAAATAAGCTCGGTGTGCTGAACAGATCGAGGTGGTATTTCACAACAGCCCATGCTCCAACTCATAAGGCACAAGTCCGACCGCATACTGTTCTCATCTCCATGCAGGGGCACCTCAGTACCAGCTTTTCCGTCTCGACCGTATTCGAAAGAAGAGCGACTCGAATCGTCGACTTAGCGTTACCTAGAGATGTAGCTTCGCTCTGCATTCTCTATCGTATATATATCATGGAGAGTGCTCCGAGGAATTGTTCGGACTAATACCGGCCAAATCCAAAAATTGGCATTCTTAAATCACCAGTTGACGTCAGCAAGAACATGCTACAGTAATCGAGCGGTTACAGGCAATGGACTAGGTCGTCAGACTTACGATCACGTGCCTGCTAGTTTAGACCTTAGCCAGTACAGTACCGATAGACGTTAACCTATCTAATATAAGTGTGGCGTCTTCCACATAAAATTAAACGATGAAACATACCACAGCGGCATCTATCGAAGACAGCGAACTACTGCGTAACTGCTAATCCTGCATCGTGGTGTGAACAATTCAGCAAATGTACAACTTCCCAACATCAGCCGTTGGGCCGCGGCCCGTCAGGCATGGTCACCTCGCCTGGTCGGAGGATCCTCCATTTGTGTTGGAGAGACATGACACCGGTTCCTCGACATAAGCATTAAGCTTTGCTTAAGGAATTAACAAGAATACTTAGTAATATATTAACCTATGTTACTAGCAGTATTTACAAAAAAATACAAAATACAAC